GCGACTGGAGTGTAATGCCATTTTTCCAACTTGGGCGAACTGCGGCGCAGCGCCAGCCACGTGGAAGTTGGTCACAGCGGCGCCCATGATTAGAGCCGGCGCTGGAAGGAAATATGGGGAGGGAGTATGAAAAGGAGGGAGGGGGGAGAGGCCCCAAAGAAGCCCCCAAGAGGCCCAAGGAAGCTCCCAGGACGCCTCCAGGAGGCCCCCAAGAGGCCGTCAAGAGGCTCCGCGACGACGTGACTGTACGTGCTCCAGACGTGCACCCCGCGAAGCGAGAGGAATCCACGTCCGGAAGTGACGTGCTGAGAGGCAGCGTTTTCCGGCGAACGCCTTAATGCAACGTGTCCAATGTATCCAAAGATTGCATAATTGCCACATGTTGCATTGTGTTACATTATTATGTCTCCCCCCTAACCCCCCTGGGAGCCACGCCACGGGAACGGACCAAAATGATCGGCCCTCCTTCTGGGGCCCCAAACCTACAATATCCGATGACAAGTCAAGAAATTCGGCCTCTTGGGCCTCTGGGGACTCCAAAAGGCCCTCCAGATGGCCCAAGATGGCCCCAAGATGGCCCCAAGACGGCCCAAGACGGCCCCAAGACGGCCCAAGATATTCTTAACGGGGGCCCATGGGGCCCCCAAGACGGCCCAAGAGGGCCCCCAAAGCCCCAAGGACGGCCCAAGAGGGCCCCAAGAGCGCCCATAACTGTGCCTCCAGAAGCCGAAATCATTGATGTCCTATGGTTTTTGCAATATTTTAGCGTTCTCGCCTTTTTCCATTTTCAAAAATACATGACGGCCCAAGCAGCTTCCAGAATCGCCCCAGAACGGCCCAAGAAGCCCCCAAGAGGGCCCCAATACGGCCCAAGAGGGCCCCAAAACGGCCCAAAGAGGCCCCCAAGACGGTCCAAGAGGCCGCGAAGACGGCCCAAGAGGACCCCAAGACGGCTCCAATGCGGCCGCGAGAGGCCCCCTAAAGCAGCCTCCGAGGAGGCGAAACGGCGCAAAAACGCCCCAAGACGGCCCAAGACGCCCCCAAGAGGCCCCAAGAGGCCCCCAAGAAGCCTCCAAGAAGCCCCCCAGAAGTCTCCAAAAGGCGCCCAACAAGCCCCCCAAAGGCCACACAGCGACTGGAGTGTAATGTTATTTTCCCCCCTCTGGGCGAACTGCGGCGCAGCGCCAGCCAGGTGGAAGTTGGTCACTGCGGCGCCCATGATTAAAGCCGGCGATGGAAGGGAAGATGGGGAGGGTGTGTGAGAAGGAGGGAGGGAGGAAAGGCCCCAAAGCAGTCCCCGAGAGGCCAAAAGAAATTCCCAGGAGGCCTCCAGGAGGCCCCCAAGAGGCTCCCAAGAGGCCCCGCGACGACGTGACTGCACGTGCTCTGGACGTGCACCCCGCGAAGCGAGAGGAATCATTTTTGCCCCGCGAGGCAGGTCGTGACACATTGGCGTCGCGCCCCCCCCCATTCAGCGCGCGCGCGTGCGTCGCGGCCCCCGTGGGCCCTCGCCGCGCGCGTTCAGTTCCAGAGCAGCCCAAGCGGCCAGGCTGCCCCGAAAGGGGGCCAGAGTCGCCGCGCCCCAGGGCGGTGGTGGCGTCGACCGAGCAGTCGCTGCATGCTGCGAGCTGGCTCACAGGCAAATCCGATGCCCAACAGGACATCGACGCCGCCCCATCCATCAGCTTCGATGCTGCTTGCCGGGGCGCGCGCATGGCTGATGGCGGCGCGCCACACGCCGCCGGCGGCATTCCATTAGACGCGCTAGAAGTAGGAAGCCGGCCGCCCACTGCAACGAATCCGACTGCAGGACACACCCCTTGCCATTCTCGTTTTGGGTCCACCGGCACCGGCCACCCAGGGGCAGAAATCCTCATCCCCGCGCTCGCAGGCCTGCCAAGACTGCCGAGGCCACGCTCGGCCACGCCCAGCGAATGGCGTGCCAACTGGGCCGCGCCAAGGTCACATGCTTCCTAAACGCAGTCTGGGTGACAGCGGGCGCCGAGGATTGCGTGATTTGGATTCGGGGGCCGTCTGCGAAAAGGATGCCATCGCCGTTGCGCCGCCCGCCCAAGAGCTCTTCAAGTCGCAGCCCTCAGGAGCAGCGCCAGTCAAGGGCACGAGGAGAGCGGGAGGAACAGGCGCGCCCCGATTCAGGGCCCAGGCTCGTTACAAGGCCGCCAGGCGTGACCAGTCGCGCCAACGTCTCGACGACGACCTCGTCGACGCCTTCGCGGCCGTCGGCGCCTCCCACATCCGCGCGGCCCTTGCCGAAGAGCCCGCCGAGCTGCCCTGGCGCCGCGGCGCCGCGACAGGCAAACGGAGGCGCGCCGCCGCGTTTGGCACCGGGCCAGCTGGCGCCCCGACAGTCCTCTCTGCCTCGGGGCAAGGAGGCGCCCAGTGCGACGTCCGCTATCGCGGCGCGGACGGGCCCGCGCCAAGCGAGTCCCTCACTGCGCGGTGGTAGGGCGGTCTCCCGGCCGCGCTGCGCGAGAGCCGCGGGGCGTATCGGACCGCGCTGACAAAGGGTCGGTATCCGAATCGCACCGAACGAGGGGGAAGGCAAAGCCGCGGCCACCCATTCGCGAGGAACTGACGCGGCACTTGCCAACGCCAAGTAGGTTATCGCAGGCATCGAGCCCCAAAGTGCCATTAAGACCAGATTGCCAAGATCCTCGCCCCCCTCAAGGGGCACTGCGAGGTCCAGCGCGCGGGGTGGGAAAAGGCGACAAAGGGTGACTTTGCCATCGCCAGAGCAGCAGCGGCCCCACCCAGCGCCGCCACGCACGCGCAGGGTTCAACCATTGCATGATGGGATATTGCGCAGGTAGAAGCTATTGCCGAGACTGAACCGCCAAAGTCCCCCGCGGCTGAGATTGCCACGCCAGAGGCCATCACGGCGGACGCGCCCGCGCGGGGATCGCCGCCCGGGCGCCCGGGCGCCGCCGCCGCGCCGACCCTCCGAGACAGGGCGGCCATTGGGCCACACCTCAGCACTGCTGACGTCGCCGTCCAACCGGCAAAACGGTGCGCCCATCGCGCAGCCGCGGAGAGGTAGCAACGGGGCCTCGGCGTGGACTGGGCGCGCCGGCGCCCTGTCAGCGTCGCTGGGCACGCCGCCGACCATTCCGAGAGAGAGAGAGAGAGAGAGAGAGAGAGAGAGAGAGAGAGAGAGAGAGAGAGAGATAGAGAGAGAGAGAGAGAGAGAGAGAGAGAGAACAAAAACAAAAATAAAAAAAAGAGAGGGCGGGCCCGCGTCCAACGCGGTCCCTCGTCACGCCCGATGATGTCGCCGAGCTTGAGGGCGCCGGCGCCCCTCTTTGTCGCCCTATGGGCGGCCGCGGTTCACCGGGCTGCGAAGGGAACTCAGACGAGGAGCGGCTGTCAAAGCCGAGTGTCCAGGGCATCTCCGACCAGGCCGGCGCCCGCGCCCGCGGCCCTGAGGCGGGCCAGTAGAGACTGGCTGACGCGGCGCGCCAAGTTGAAAACGCAACCGCAAGTGCACGGCCCGACGCTTCCAGCAGCTCGAGCGAGGCGTCGCGACATTCCAAGTAGTGCTAGCCAGCTTCGACGTGGACGTGGGAACCTTCCTGGCCCACGTGCTGCCGCCGGTCGCGTTGGCGCAGGGCCGAGCGGCGCCGCGCGGCCCCAATGCCCCCGCCCCCGCGCCGAACCAGCCGGGGCAGGGGGGGCGCTAGCGCCATCGTGGGGGGTGCGTGGGAGTGGAAGGACTTGCTCGATGGGGGGCGGGGGTGGGGGGGGCAGGATTGCGACCTCAGGGCCGCGCCCCCGCGCCGCGCGCGCCCCGAACCGCCGCCAGGCTTGCGCTGAAGGGGCCTCGACGCCCCCGCCCCCGCCCCTCGCCCGGGCGAGGCCGCGACGTCCGAGGGGATTTAGCTCGCGTGCGCGCCGCTGCCGGGGCAGTCGTTCCAGGGCCCGCGCGTGTACATCACCGCCGCGGGCTGGTTTTCTGTCATTCATGTGGGTTGATTGGACTACTGTCTCGGCGGTAGGTTGCAGGGTGCGTCAAATCTCGCGGCAATTACATGTCGCTCGCGCAGCGTCATCTGGGCGCGCGGCAGCATGCGCAAAAAAGCAGCACATTCACATGGTATATATTCAGGGTGGTGCATGACATTCCCCGGGGTGGGGGGGGGTCCATCGTTCCCATGCGCCGCCGCTGCGCTGCCATAGGGTGCCTGGGAGCCACTATTCGCGACCGAATGCGGCCGCCATCTGAGCGCGCGACCGCGCGGCAAGTACTCGCGCTCGGCGGGGGCAGGCAGGGGCGCCCTGTCAGGAGGGTCGCGCGCAGGATTTGTTCCTTTCCTATGGCCGCCTGGTGGTGGTGTATATATTGGCGCCCCGCAGACATTGGGTCTGCCGTAGTATCGGTTCTGTCATGTGCCCCCAGTTTTCCCTGGTCCAGTTCGTCGGGGGGCGACCGACCGACCGGGCTTGCTTATGCCAGTTTAGTTTCTGCGAGGGCGAAAGAGGGTCACCGCGCCATTTGGCTCAGAGGTGCTCCAGCTGCCCAGCGCACGCCAGCGGCGGCGCTCTCCGCGCCGCCGCCGTAGCGCGCCCCGGACTCACGGGAGTGGCCGCCCGCGCCCAGACTCCCGCGCGGAGCTTCGCGCGCCTTGGCCCAGGGGCGCTCGCCCCAAAGCCTGGCCGGAGTGGCGTCGGAGGCCGTCGCGGCAGGACGCAGATCAACCGGGACACGGAAAACCAATGAAACGACACCCTTCCTGCAAAGTGGCAATTTTCAGCACCCGTGCATGCCGTTTGTTGCGCTGCAGGATTCGGGTTTGTCCGGGCTCGCAGGTTTCTCGCAGGCTTTTGGGGCCTGTGCCCGGGTTTATTTTGGAAGTGTTGCAGTGCAGTGCTTTGTTCGTGCCAGCAACTGGAAAAGTTGGTTTCGAGGGATGTCTGGTGTCCGGATCTAGCGTGTCCGGGCCCACGGGGCCCCGATTCTTTTCGCCGCTGCAGGCAAGGCGCAGCCCTCTACCGCCGCGCTTTCGACTGCGACGTCGTGGGCCACTTCGGCATCTACGGCTGCCGAGGAGAACGAGGCGTCGCCAGGGCCACCGCGGGCAGCGATTGCAGCGCGCGGCCGCAGCGGCTCGCCGAGGCCCTGCGACCCTCCCGCCAGCGCTCAGCATCGCCACTCCGTGCCCACAAACAACGGCGATCGATTCCATCAGCTACCAGGGCGCTGGGGCGCCGGCTTGCCCGGCCACGCGCTGGCGCCGCCCAATCAGATGCGCGACGACGCGCGGGCGCGGGTCGAGGGCCGACCTGCGCCCGGCACGCGGGCGCCTGTTTCGCCAATTGACAGGGCGCGCGCCGCGGAAGCGCCGGGGCGGATCGGCGCCGGCCCACCATGCCCAACCACGTCGAACGGACGATGCGCCGCAGACCACCAGGACCGGGACGGCCCCGTCCAGGGCCCGACAGCGACCAAGGGATTCCCGATGACCCCATCGAAGACCCAGACGACGCTGGCGGACTGCTGCAGACTCGCGCCACCAGGTACAGTGACTGCCTCCGACAGACGGATGCACGCCAGCGAAGGCACGGTCCTACACCTCCAGCTCGCAGCCATTGCGCACCCATGGGGGCCAGTTCGCGCAAGTTTCCAGACCAGGATGGAGGAGCGCATCGACCGCGCCATGGGCGAGATCCAGGTCCGCAGCTGCGCGCCGCTGCGCCGACGCACGCAGCGCGATGGCGCGCCGCCCACAGGCAACAGCGGGGCGCGTGCGATTTCAGTCGAACAGCATGGCGCGGCACGCAGCTTTCTCGGACTCACGAGCGCATGGCCATCAACGGGCTGGCCGACGAGGGCCGAACCATGTACCCGGTCGACTACATCCCGGCTGGCCACTTCGGCCGCGTCGCCCACTTCGGCCACGCGGTGGCTCGCCAGGATAACGCTCGCGCCCATCGAACTTCGCGACCTGCGATGCCGTCGCCCCCCCGCCAGGGGCACCGACGGACATCGGCATCCCGCCTCCGTCGCCAGGGGAGAAGACGGCGAATCATTTCCCAGCGCCTCAGACAATTTTCAGGAGAAGCGACGTTCGGCGACGGCTCTTCCATGGAAGATACGTCGTACGACAAAGCATTGGAGGGCCCTCCATGGCCCTCGAATGTATCGGGTTTAATGGCACTTCAATAAGCGAGCCTGACAGTCAAGGGCGCGCAACACTTCTGCCCCATGATGCGCGGTAGGACGACAGCTAACAGAGGCGCCAGCATGGCCGCGCCCCTTTCCACCCAGACGCCCGGCCTAACATCGCGAGTAGCACCGGGCCGTTGGGGAGGGCATTGCAGCCCAGACGGGAAACGAGCTGCTGCCAGCACGACAGCGCCACAAGCAACATAATGGTGTCCGCCATTACCTGGGCAATCGCTGCAACGACACTCGCCGCCGCGGCGGGAGCGCTGCAACCTGCAATGCCCGGCGCCAAAGTGCCGCGACCAGCAGCGACACCAACCAAGGGAGTCAACCAAAATGGTTCGACGGTAACGGACACCGAGGGGGCTCCCCTTATAAGGCTTGGGCCTCATCGCACAGTGGGAGTTCCTATTCGCCGCCTTCACCAAAGCAGGCGCGTGCAGGTGTCTCCTCTACTTCCTCTTAGGCGACGGAAGTAGCGGCGGCCGACGACGCAGTCAAAGGCCTCTGGGCCTGCGGCGCGGTCCTCTGGCCACCTAGCGTCTCGGCGAAGTCGTCGCCGCCGACGGACAGGGGCCGCGGGCAACGTCAGCCGCCTGCGCCGCCCGCAGCACCGCTGCGATTTGACTGGACTTCCTCGCCGCCTGCGTCGCACTCGCGACGGATTCCAACTGTGCTGCGACGCCGCACCAGGCCGCATAATCATCGTGCCAACCAGAGCCTCAGTCAAAGTGACCGACGCGAAAGAAAACGCCTTTCGGAACCGAGACCCGCCAATTCACAGTCGTCGACGCAGATGGCAGTCCATGCAGTTGGCGACGCCGCCCTTCATCTGCTCGCCGCCGTCGAGGCCTGGGCCGCCGCGACTCGGTCCTGCGCGCGCGTCACAGTTGGCCATGCACTGGAGGGCGGCGCTTTCCTGCTCGCGAGCGCGTGTCGAACGCGGAGTCGAGCATGCACCCAGCATCGGCGCGGGGAATGGCGCGTGCGTCGCGGGCCATTGGGGGCCCGGGTGCGCAGATGCTGCGGCAGAGGTCCCTGGGTGAGCGTTTGTTTTCACCAGAGCTAGCGCAGCGCCCTCGGAACTCCCCGCGCCCTCCGTCGCGCGCCAGACAGCGGGCGCGCGCCTCCCCACTGCCGCCGTTAACAACATGTGTGCGACGCCGCGGCCGACGCGGGGGGGCGGCAACGGCCAGGGGTCACGAGGTCACGAGCAGCGCAGCCAGTCACGGAGCCGCAGCCGCAGCCGCGCCGCCGCCCACGCCAGGGCCGACGAGGCACCCAGTCGGACGCGTAGCACCGCGGATAAGGGCGAGTCCACGCAGCCACGCAGAGATAGCAAGCGGTACAAGAGACGACGCGCCACGACAGCAGCGCGCGGTTACGTGCAACTTTATCAACCCATCACTTCTGCCATCATCACCACCGCACTACCAGCCGTCAGACAGTGCGAGTCAGGCGCCAACCGGGGACCGCCGAGCCCCGCGGCCCCCCGCTCGCCTCCCCGACGCAGTCGCAGGGCGAGGCTGGGCGAAAGACCCACGGAGAAGCGGGGCCAATGCGGTCCGCGAGTCGCTTCTACACAACCAGTCCGAAGCAGCAGAAGGGACAGACCCCGAGGCCCACGTCATCAACATCTACGAGGCGGTCCTACAGCAAGGGTTTAACATAACAGAGTGGATCAGAGAAGACTCTGCCACCTCTGGAGCAAGCCTATTCCCATGGAACACATGGGATCTAGCAGAACCGTCTGAACGCGCTCATGGCCACGACCTGTTCTTCCACGCTGCGCGCGTCGAGATCATCGACCGCATGTGGCAGCTGGGGTGAACGAGGTTACCAAGCCCCAGCAGGGAGGCAACCAGTGCGAAAGAAGTCACCAGACATTGGCACGTTCCGTAGCGCGTCCCTTTGGCACGTCCCACGGAGCGCCCCCATGGCGCGCCCCCTGGCGCGCCCCCTGGCGCGCCCCTTGGGACGTTCCGCGGCGCGCCTCCCCCCGTGGCATCGGCCTGTTGCATATGCAATTAAGGTCCTTAGAAGTTCCATGCCTCGCAATTCCCCTTTCCTTTCCGGGTTCGTGGGTCGATTGTGTTCCAGTCGGGGTCTCCTTTCGACCGCGCCAAGTGGGAGGTTGTTCCCACTCCTGTTCGTCAAGCGACGCCTCCCGCCAGTTCGAGGATGGCCCGCGCTGCGCCAGCGCCCGCCAGGCCCGGATACCCGTCTCCGAACTGTTGCGATCTCTCCCGATCCTCCCTCTTTTCTTTTGCCGCAAGACAGTGCCGACGACGGCTTTAGGCGGCCCAGGCAGCGGCGCAAAAGCCGCCGCGGCCGTCGTCGTCGTCCTCCTCTTCGTTCGCTGGGTGTACTGGTTTTCATTGACGTTGGCTTCCTCCGTCGTCGTCGTCGTCGTCGTCGTCGTCGTCGTCGTCGTAGTAGTAGTAGTAGTAGTAGTAGTAGTAGTAGTAGTAGTAGTAGTAGTAGTAGTAGTAGTAGTAGTAGTAGTAGTAGTAGTAGTAGTAGTAGTAGTAGTAGTAGTAGTAGTAGTAGTAGTAGTAGTAGTAGTAGTAGTAGTAGTAGTAGTAGTAGTAGTAGTAGTAGTAGTAGTAGTAGTAGTAGTAGTAGTAGTAGTAGTAGTAGTAGTAGTAGTAGTAGTAGTAGTAGTAGTAGTAGTAGGAGTAGTAGTATAGTTGTAGTAGTAGTAGTAGTAGTAGTAGTAGTAGTAGTAGTAGTAGTAGTAGGGGTAGTAGGGTAGTAGTAGTAGTAGTAGTGGTGGTAGTAGTGGTAGTAGTAGTAGTAGTAGTCGTCGTCGTCGTCGTCGTCGTAGTAGTAGTAGTAGTAGTAGTAGTAGTACCAGTAGCAGGAGTAGTAGTAGTAGTAGTAGTAGTAGTAGTAGTAGTAGTAGTAGTAGTAGGAGTAGTAGTAGTAGTAGTAGTCGTCGTCGTCGTCGTCGTCGTCGTAGTAGTAGTAGTAGTAGGAGGAGGAGGAGGAGTAGTCGTAGTAGTCGAGCCAGAAGTGGCTCGACGCGCTGAATGAGGAGGCGGAGGAGGATGTGGGAAGGCTGAAGAAGGGCGTCCTGGAAGCCTCGGGGATCGCAGACGCCCACCTGGGACACACACGTGCCTGGAGGGAGGAGTGCCAGGGCAACGCCGCGGCGCAGGAGGCCTACCGCCGCATGGGCGACTACGCGGACCAGTTCTACCGTGGCAAGGGCTTCACGTTCAACATGTACTACAAGTGCGCGGCCAACAAGACCTGGGACAATCCCAGGGGATGCTGCTCGGTGGTCCGATCGGATCGCTGGTCACAGCTGCTCTCATGCGCACAGGAGGCGGCGGGGGAGACGGGCCAGCGCTGGTACTGCCACTGCGGCGCGCGCTACTCGACCTCCTACGGGGTCTGCATCGAGTTCATTGGGGAAGAGTCGGACCCGCCATGCGCGTACTACATGCACGCGGAGCACCCCGGGGAGGACACCCGTGACTTGAAGGCCCTGCTGCGCTACGACAAGCTCCAGAAGGAGGGGGTATCAGTGGTCAGCGCGGTGGACCTCCTGAAGTACCTGCCCAAGGTCGAGCCGCTGGCGGTGGGCGCCGTCTTCAAGCGCTACGCCCCGCACCAGCCACAGTGGGAGGGCCACTATGTGCTGATGGAGGGGCTCTCCTGGGAGAGCCTAACCGAGTTCAAGTGGACCGACCTCTACGCGCAGGTCGCCTGGGGACTGAACGACCCAGAGTGAGCGGGCTACAGCAAGAAGGCGCGGAACAAGGCCAAGAGGGAGCGCTTGGAGATGGCGCGCAGGGAGCTGGCGCTCTACGAGCGCCGCCGCAACCTGCGGGAGGGCAGCCTCTCGGGCGGCGGGGGTGGCACAGGGGTCGCTCCGCGTGCCACCCCCGTCCGCGCCGCCGGCGCCCCCCCGGCGGGTGGGGCCCGCGGCAGCCAGGACCCGCCACCACCGCCTGTCGGAGTCCCGCCAGCGGCCGCGGCCATCATGGCCCCTCCGCCGCCGCCGCCGACGGCGCCCCCTGGGGCGCAGCCGCCGCCGACGGACCCGCCACCGCAGACGGGCCCGCTCCCGCAGCAGATCCCAAATGCTGCAGCCCTGAACGTGGCCCTCGGTGAAGACCTCGAGCGCCAGATCTTTGGGCCCGCAGGGCAGGTGGGTGGCAGTGGCGACCTCGGTGGGGAAGCGCGGGCGCTGCCGTCGCAGGTCTTTGCGGCCGCTGCGCAGGGAGCAGGCCAGCCTGCCTGAATGATGAAGCCCAGCAGGTACCAGGCCCTCGACAGGCCACGTGAGTCCATGCCAAGATGTTTTGCATGCCACTCTCAGTAGTGCGGCGTGCCCACAGTGGCGCCCCCCTCGCGTGGCTGCACCTGTGGCTTTAGCCTCTGATCGGCGCATGGTCGCCCGTGCGCCTAGCTATCTGGCCCGCCAACTGGCTTGCCATCTTGGCCTCCTCTCACGCTCACTTGCGCTCGCGGGCCTCACTGGTGGTGCTGGGACCG